TGCCTGCTGCAGTTCTGAGTCTGACTGATTAAAAGCCACCACTTGCCCAGCGCACACTATCACTTTTATGAAAATCCAGCAAGCGAGTGTGAAATGAAGATAACCGCCTCCCACCCGCATTCGGAGACTGAAGATACTTAATTATCTGAAACCCAGATAACGAGCAGGAGCAGGATGGTACACGAGACGCAGGAAAGCTGAGGCGGGCAACCAGGGGCTGCAAGAGGAGTTATTAAAAGCTAATGATGTGAATCAGGGCTGGAATGAAGGGCAAGAAAATGAGCCTGAGGTTGCTGACAGCCTCCGAGTGCTCTTGCCTGCAGTAGAAGAGGACAGGAGAGGCAGGGAGAGGTGGCAGTGGTGGGGACTGAGAGTTGGGCAGCTCATAGGGTCAAGGAGGGGAACAAACAAGCTTCAAACATTATCTCCCAGACATTTGCCACCTCCTGCAGAGAACTTTTTATAATTCTGAGGGGTTGATTGACCCCTTCAAATGAAGTTCATAAAATTGCCAAACCTCAAGCATGAAACAGCAAGTTGGAAACCAGAGGACATGGGAAGGGAAGACAGTGAAAGAGGATGTGCAAACTCCCAGCAGTTGACTTTACATACTTTGACTGTCTAAGTTGGAGCTCTTCATTTCAGGCTACAAAATAAATCAGTTATGTTCAGAGAAAGGGTATAGAAAAATCCAAAGCCCGACTCTGTAGAATCTGTTCGATTTCCACCACACTCAACTCAAGTTGGCAGAACAAGACAAAACCTGATGTGGGATTGTGGGCGTCCAACCAGGAGTTTTTCTTTGCATTGTGGGAGAGCTGGGCAATGAGGAAGGGGGTCCTTGCATTTGGAATAAAGATAACAAATAGCTGAGGGTGAAGGGCTCTGCCTCCGAGACAAACATCTTGAAACCCTAGTTCTGCCTCATACCAGCTGGAGAGCGTGAGCGAGTCAGTTCTTCTCTCTCATCTCAGTTTCCTCAAAATAGGAGGAATAGAACCCACCCCATCGGGGTTCTTGTGAGGGCCCGATAAACAAAGCAAGCATATGCATGCTGCACGCTGTGTGGCTTATCAGTGCTCTCAGCAGGCAGCAGCTCTTGAGTGCTCTGTCCTGTGCCCAGTGTCACAGACCAAGGATGCAAGAGAGCCAGGGTGACTCCTTCTTAGTAGAAAACTTCTTACAAGTTCTCGCTGGTTCCGTGGGAATGAGCAAATACGAGGGTACTTCCAAAAAGTTCATGGGAAGATCTGCATTATCTTTCAATTATGTGTTTCCACAAACTTTTTAAAGTACCCTCATGTCCCTCTTCTGCTTCCTCCCTGTCCTGGCAGGAGGAGAAGGAAAATGGGCAGAAGCTGTGGATCCCAGAGGAAAGGGTGAGACAAAGCAACCAAGAAAGGGGAAACCACAAAGAATAATTCTATACGCCGGGAGTGTTGGGTGTGGGGAAGGCAGCAGCCACAGAACCCATTAAGAAAGGGTCAACCCAGCAGGACATCGTGGGAGTGAGAAGGTGTCCTGACCCGTGAAATATGGTCTGACTCACACGGCCGCCACGGGAGCTGGTGGGTATTAACATGATTACTTTGGAGCAGGTGTGACCAAATCAATCTCATCATAGTTATTACAGCTACAGTCACTGGAAATATTTCAGCCAAGGGCTGTCACATTTCTGTTGCTTGAAGCTTCCTCACCTGTACCTGAAAATGCGTTGCCTGAAAATGCTTAGCGGGGTCTGGAATTCAATCTCCCTCTTACTCTATGCCAAGGGGTCTGACATGCGTGTGTGCGTGTGTGTGTGTGTGTTTGTGTCTGTGTGTGTGTGTGTTATAAGGCGGTTGTTGGTGTAAGGATGAAGCATGAAATAATAATTTATTGCACATTTGAGAAAATATTAATTGGCCTAATAAGTGCCAGGCACTATTCAAGGTGCTGGGAAGATACAACAGTGAGGAAGACAGATTGAGGTGCCTGCCCTCATGGAGCTTACTCTCTTTAAGGAATTATCTTGGTAGATACAGTGAAAGCTTCCTACCTCCCTCCCTCCCTTCCTTCCTTCCCTGACTCACTCATCGAATACACACTCTGGAGTCAGACTGCATCCTAGCTTAGCTGCTTATTAGCTAATGCAACCTTGGGCAAATTTCTTAACCTTCAATTCTTTCTTCTCCAAAATGGAAATAAAAATATCTGCAGGATACGTACTACAGCTATGGAAGGACCAGCTCTAAGAAATAGCCAGGAAGCTGAATACAAGTATGGACTTGGCCCACGGCCTGTTGGGAGGCTGAGGATGATGGATGAGGAATTTGTCCAGATCTGAGTGTGCTGCATCCTCTTTCCTGGCTGTCTTGCATCTCTGAGATTGGTGAGGTGGGTGCCCCTGCAGGCAAGCTACGCACTGCACAAGGCTGGGCTTGGCGGGGAGCTGTCATTATCATCCACTGCTGTCTGCAGAATGCTAGTGAGACTTCTGGAGGCCTGGAAGCTGGCCCCTGCCCTGGAGAATGTCCTGACTACTCTGACATCCTTCTGGATCCTTTAGATAATTTGATTAATTCAAGCATCTACTGTAGACATTTGTCCCTAAATGGTTGGACTCGTGGGCTTGATGAGGAAATTCAGTGAGATCACAAATCAAGAGCTTAGCACAGTGCCTGGCCCAGAGCTCACACTTAATAAATGTCCCTAAGCACTTGCTATGGGCCAGGCATGTGCCAGATGCCAGGAGTAGTGCATGTGTGTTCACACACATACACCCTGCAAAGCTCAGGAAATGCAAAGTGCTGTTGGAGTGAGCAAGACTGGAGCCACGTTGGGACCTAAAACTGCACGGGCTTTAGATTAAAAAAAAAAAAAAAAGAGGGCACAGTGTTTTTCTTAGTATGCATTTCTCTGAGTTCCCTCTTTTCCCATGGTTATTTGATATTTTGAACCTTGGTTATGGGTCAAAATGACATTATTTATATAAACGTAAAGTTGTTCTAAGTCAGCCTGGAGCTGCAAACTTGCCATGAGTCATGTACTATCCAGACCCTGAGAAACCAAGGAAGATGTCAATAAAGCTGTGCTGATTCCACCCTCCAGCAGGACCCTGAGACAACAGCAAGGACGGGAGCAGAAACAGACAGAGCCTTGGTGAGACCTTGCACGGAGCCCCCACAGCTCACATCCCCCTCCCTCCTGCTTTTTATTTCCCACCTTCCATTCCCTCAGACTCCTCTTTAAAAACCCCTGCAGTAAACCTGAGTCTGTGAGGGGGCTTTAGTCTGGCTGTTCTCCTTAAAGGTACCAGAGAGATGGGTTAGCCTAACATCCCTCCTCAAGTCACTGGGATTCCTGAATTAAAGCTGACTTCCATTTTTACCAACCTTTGACTTTTGAGTGATTTGCTTTTGTCTGGGAGCAGGCGGACAGACCTGTGAGTTTGGTATCAATTTTGGGGAGCTTCAGCCAGGAGCCGAGTGCATTCTGTAACATGGTGAGCAAAGCCAGGAGCTAAATGCCCTGGGGTAACAAGATTTGGGGGAGCCTCACCCAGGAGCTGAATGCCCTGGATTCTGTAGCAGATTTTGGCAAACCAAGCCAGGGTGTTTGCACAGGGCAGGCAGCAGACTTGGGTTTGGTAGCAGTGACAGCCATTGTTCCTGCAGCAGCAAAAGCAACTTTTGGACCCTCGTGAGCACCTCTGGGCTAAAGGGCTCTTCAGTACTTTAAAGCAAACTCATGTTCTCTGTCTTCCTTTTGCTACCCAAAGAGGGAGAAAGGGATTGTTTCTGAGCACTTGTATGTTGGTTTATCTTATTTCCAGACAAAAAGGAGGGTGTCTCTTCTCTGTAAAGTGGGAATGTTCTAGAACCTTCCTCTGAGGGCTCCTGTGAGAAGGGATGATACACATGAAGTATTTAGCACAGGATGTGGCACATGCAAAGAGCTGAATAAATGGCAGCTGTAAATATTGTATTCTACTTTAAGGGGTGAGAGAGAAGGTCCTATAATGTCATAGTGAGAATGTGGGTTTTGAAGGCAAGAAGAGCTGGGTCTGAATCCCACCTCCCCTGTTTACTAGGTGGAAGGCCTTGGGTGGGTTGTTTGACCTCTCCAAGTCTCAGTTTCCTCATCTGCAAAATGGGATAATCATATACCCGGCCCTGTTTGTGGTGTGAGAAATCCATGAAAGAACAGGTGAGGGGCTTAGTTTGTACTTGGAAGGTGGGATGTGCCTGCTGCTTCCAGTGGAGGTTGAGGCGGGTGCAGACAGGCAGTGCAGATTTTCCAGCCAGCTTTCCTCTTAACCCTGTTTTTGTTTTATTTTGCTTTTAAACTCTCGCTATTTGTCTGCCAGAGCCCAATTTTTTAAATTATAGTTTCTCTTGAAAGACTACCTATAATTCCTAGGAATGTTGTACTCTGTAGATAGTAGACATTCAACCTATGACACTCTGGGGTTGCTAAATGATCCCATGAGAAAGGTATTATTATTTTCACCTATTTACAGATGAGGGGACTGAAGTTCAGAGAGCCTAAGTAACCTGCCCGAGCTCACTAGCTTTTTTTGATCTCAAGCCTTTCTGAGCCCAGTGCGTTCTCTTAATGACCCCAGCACAGGGTCTCCTTCCCTTTCTTTCTCTTTCCCGTTCTCCAACAGGGAACATAGAACAAGCTTGCTCTTTGGAGTCAGACTGGCTTGAATTCAGTTCCAACTTAAGGGTCTTGTTTAAAACGGGAGATAACAATACCCACTTCTCTAGGTAGTAAGAATCAAATGAGATCTTAAAAAATGCACATCATGCCTTTATCCCAGTGCCTGGGGTCTTGTTTAAAACGGGAGATAACAATACCCACTTCTCTAGGTAGTAAGAATCAAATGAGGTTTTAAAAAATGCACATCATGCCTTTATCCCAGTGCCTAGCACATCAATACGTATTAGGTTCTCCAGGCGTCCTCTCTCCTCTACACCCTTTCCTTTTCTCAGCCACTTCCCCGAAGCACTCACATGAACCTGAGCTCAGACTCCCTTCGGACCAAGACTTCCCGGAGACGTTGAATTTTCGCCATCTCCAGCTCGATCTCCTCTGGCATCATCGTCGTTTCTGCCATGGAGATGATGTCCAGCTGACCTGTGCAGGAGATACGAAATGCAGGTGTCAAGATCACCAGGCTGCATGGGTGTTTGAGAATTTCCGCAGGACAGAAGCTGTCCTTGTTCCAGAGAACAGCATCCTTCCACTGTCCGTCACACACTGTGGGGGCACCCATACCTCAGCCTGTGCTGCAAATGTGTATTTGTGAGTGGACCCTTTGGGAACTGGAAAACATATTTTCCATGGAAAACCTTGTTGTAACAGCAAGTGGGGGCTCAGGTGGGCTCACAAAATCCTGCTTAAGGCATTGTCAGTCCTGGCTTGGTCCCAGCTTCTGAGCTTCCGCTCCCTTGACCTTGGCCACTTGGCCACATCCCAGTCTCAAAGACCAAAGCCAACTCTAGGCAGAAGAAAGTTTTATAATAATTTTTTTTTTTTTGACCAGTAAGGGGATCGCAACCCTTGGCTTGGTGTTGTCTGCACTGCGCTCAGCCAGTGAGTGCACCGGCCATCCCTATACAGGATCCGAACCCGCAGCCTCAGTGCTACCAGAACCGCGACTCCCTTCGGACCAAGACTTCCCGGAGACGTTGAATTTTCGCCATCTCCAGCTCGATCTCCTCTGGCATCATCGTCGTTTCTGCCATGGAGATGATGTCCAGCTGACCTGTGCAGGAGATACGAAATGCAGGTGTCAAGATCACCAGGCTGCATGGGTGTTTGAGAATTTCCGCAGGACAGAAGCTGTCCTTGTTCCAGAGAACAGCGTCCTTCCACTGTCCGTCACACACTGTGGGGGCACCCAGACCTCAGCCTGTGCTGCAAATGTGTATTTGTGAGTGGACCCTTTGGGAACTGGAAAACATATTTTCCATGGGAAACCTTGTTGTAACAGCAAGCGGGGGCTCAGGTGGGCTCACAAAATCCTGCTTAAGGCATTGTCAGTCCTGGCTTGGTCCCAGCTTCTGAGCTTCTGCTCCCTTGACCTTGGCCACTTGGCCACATCCCAGTCTCAAAGACCAAAGCCAACTCTAGGCAGAGGAAAGTTTTATAATAATTTTTTTTTTTTTGACCGGTAAGGGGATCGCAACCCTTGGCTTGGTGTTGTCTGCACCACGCTCAGCCAGTGAGTGCACCGGCCATCCCTATACAGGATCCGAACCCGCAGCCTCAGTGCTACCAGAACCGTACTCTCTTGAGTGAGCCACAGGGCCAGCCCTATAATAATTATTTTGTAGTAGTAATACTAAGTAATGTAAGCAATAGTNACTCTCTTGAGTGAGCCACAGGGCCAGCCCTATAATAATTATTTTGTAGTAGTAATACTAAGTAATGTAAGCAATAGTCTTACAAAGTAATACAAGTTTGTTGTAGAAAATTCAGACCATACAGGTGGGCAAAAAAGAATACAGTAAAAAGTCATCCATAGCCCCACTCCCCAGAAAGAACCACTACTGACATTTGATGGACATTCTTCCAGTCTTATATAGTCAGAGTCATATGAGAGTACTTCAAAAAGTTCATGGAAAAATGGAATTAAAAGATAATACAAATCTTTCCATTAACTCTTTGAAGTACCTTGTATATATTGCCATACAAAACCATATATTAAAAACCATCTATATTACCATATGTATAACCATGTATATATATAATAGTATACACTATCATATATAGAGAAAAACACTACATATACATGTATGTATGTATGTATGTATGTGTATTAGTCTGCTCAGGCTGCCATAAAATACCACAGGCTGGGTGACTGAAACAACACCAATTGATTTTGTCACAGTTCTAGAAGCTGGAAGTCCAAGATCAAGGTGCAGACCGAGCTGGTGTCTGCTGAGGGCTCTCTTCCTGGCTTGTAGACGGCTGCCTTCTTGCTGTGTGCTCATAGGGTCTCTTCTTTATGTGTGTGTTGTGGTGGAGGGGACCAGAAAGCTCTCTGGTGTCTCTTCTTAGAAGGACACCAATCCTGACTGATCAGGGCTCCACCCTTTTGACCTCATTTAATCTTAATTACTTCCTTAGAGGCCCCATCTCTACATACAGCCAAACTGGGAGTTAGGGCTTCAACTTATAATTTTCGTATGTTAATCACATAGATTACCATATATCTTTCTAATATTTATATGGTTATCCGTATGGTTAAATGTATTATAAATGTAGTATGCATATATAGGGTAATATATACGGTTTTATACATACAACATGGATAATATATAAATACACATATTTCTCTAAAGACTGAAAAAATGTACAGGAAAATATTAGTAGTTAAAAATGCTAATATATGCCTGTGTGTGTGTATATATATATATATACACATACACATACATGTATACACACACACACACACACACATATATATGCCATTATATACATATGCATGTATCCACTATTATGTAGATCTTACTTTTGTGATATGAAGTTAGAGTCTCTGTATTTTATTACTGGCTGTNTTAATCTTAATTACTTCCTTAGAGGCCCCATCTCTACATACAGCCAAACTGGGAGTTAGGGGTTCAACTTATAATTTTCGTATGTTAATCACATAGATTACCATATATCTTTCTAATATTTATATGGTTATCCATATGGTTAAATGTATTATAAATGTAGTATGCATATATAGGGTAATATATACGGTTTTATACATACAACATGGATAATATATAAATACACATATTTCTCTAAAGACTGAAAAAATGTACAGGAAAATATTAGTAGTTAAAAATGCTAATATATGCCTGTGTGTGTATATATATATATATATATACATACACATACATGTATACACACACACACACACACACACATATATATGCCATTATATACATATGCATGTATCCACCATTATGTAGATCTTACTTTTGTGATATGAAGTTAGAGTCTCTGTATTTTATTACTGGCTGTTTTCACTTAGCAACATAGCATGAGCACTTTGGCCTTCTCTTGGATGTTTTTCCTCAGCAGCAGTGCAAAAGGCTGGGTAGTTTTCTATTTGTGGCTATATCACAAGTCTCCTAACCAATCCACTGACATTTAGGCTGTTTTCTATTTTTCCCCACAATAAGCAGTTCTATGATGAACGTTCTCAAAGCTAAATCTTTGCACACATCCAGGTGTTTCCTTTAGGCTACATTTCCAGAGTGAACAGCTGAGTTTTAAGGGATGCAATATTCTAAGGCCTTTTGCAGGTGGAGGGGGAAGCTTAGGAAAGAAGAGTTCTTGCTCTACGATCAACATCACGTTACCTACATCTGCTAGTTCCTTCCACACTCACCCCCTAAAGCCGGGCGCCACTCCCCCCCCACCTCAATTATGCTGCCTGGTAGTTTTCTTTACCCTTCCACACAAGTCCGTGATCTGGAAAGCTGCCCCCCTCTTTCTACCTGTCTGTTTCTCTCCTACAACCTGGAGCCCTGGCCCTGCACACCTGCACAGGGGTTGGGGTACTGTGATTGGCAGACTTCCTGAAGTCAACCCTGCTTGCTTGGATCTCAGAATAGTGCCCACTCCCAAGAGCCCAGCTGTGGGACTCTCCTGGCCCTGAGTTCTTTGGTAGAAGTCAGGTTTTTGGTAAGTTGACCCTCCAATCACCTGCTCCACAATGCATCTGTTCCATGTACCGAAATTACCTGCCTCCCCTCCACCAATTAAAACTCCTCCTTATGGGCCGGCCCGGTGGCACACTGCTACAGTGCGCCGCTTGGGAAGCGCGGCGGCGCTCCCCCTGAGGGTTCGGATCCCACATGCGGACTGGTTCCCGCTCACTGGCTAAGCGAGGCCCGGGAGCAACACCGAGGGTTGCGATCCCGTTGCCGGTCCCGGTCCGGTGTGGGGGCGACACTGAGGGTTGCGATCCGTTGCCGGACACGGAAAAAGACAAAAAGCAAAAAAAAAAAACCTCCTCCTTATTTTGCTGAGCAATCTGGAGAAAGGCAACCCCATGTAGTCGATTCTCCCTTTGAAATGCATGACCTCTTAACTGTCTCAGAGATAATTCCCAATTCATACAAGAAACAATGGCAAAAGCAATGGAAAAGGCCAAGCAATTACTAGCAGAGAAAAGACTTAGGCATGACAGTCTTCTATTGGAGATTTCCTCTCCTTTTGGTTCAGCGTCTCAGAGTGATGTCTGCTTCTCTTTCTATTTTCAGAGCCATCCAAGATTTCACAACACAGTGCAGTACCCGGTGTTGAGCTGGGGAGGGGGCATCGAACAATTGCATAAATGGGAGGAAGGGAGGGGAAGTGGTCGAAAGGGGAAGATGTGAAATTGGAGAGATCCTCAATCGCCTCCTCTCTGCCTTCTAAGGACAGCGGATCCTGAAGACCATCAGCGTCTGGATGAGCTGGTGCCAATGGGGGTGACAAGTGGAGGGAGGGCAATGAGTGTCAGTAAGAGAACAGGAAGGAGAGAGATCTGAGGAGCCATCTCAGGCTGGGACTAGGGAAGAGGGAGAGATGCCTACAGAGGATTTGCAGGAAATTGTCCATGTGAAGGGCTGGGTAAAGACTTCTTCGGGGTCATCAGGTTACACTTCAAGGCCCCTGGAATCAGATCTGGGGTCCTACTGATCCTGACACCATGCCAAGATAGCTCCTGGAACTGGAGCAATAAGGCTTGGTTCAAGGAAGAAGGGAAGGAGGGAAGAACAGGATAAAGAGATTAATATTAATTGAGCGTTACTATGTGCTGGGCTGAACCAGGCTGGAGGACCAACTTCAACAAGCACTGACTCTGGGCACAGGGCAATTTAAGGTTGTAGTGACATGGGAGTAGGGGTGGGGAGTGTTCTGGAATCAGGTGGCCTAAGCTTGAGTCGCAGCTCTGCCCTTCGCTAGCTGGGTGGGGTTAGAGAGTTTGTTAACCTCTCAGTGGCTCAGTTTCTCTTCTGTAACATCAGGATGACAAGAAAGCCCACCACCCAGGGCAATCATGAGGAATGAATTAACCAAGGTATGTCATACCCAATATACGGTTATGATTCCCCTTGTCATGACCACAGCCCCTGGTCTGC